GTTTACATATTTGGACTTATGATAGCAGGGACTCTGCTTTTTGGCATCGGCGGGGCTCTGTTTTATCGACTTTTGAAAAAGACATCGGCAGCAGTTTTGGCCATGGAAAAGCTTCCGAGTCAGTGTGAAGGTCTGGTCCTCACTGTGGGAACTTTAAATCGTCTGGTCTATGAGCTTAACCGTAAGGTGGAGGCGATTGAGAATCGCAGACCACCTATGGCTTCTGGGACTCATCAGTGTGGTGGGTTCGACCTTGAAGGAGACTCATAGCATGGATCAGTGGAATGTAATCCCACAATTAGGCATTTTCGGAACCAGAACGCCCAGATGGACTCAAGGCTGAAGAAAAAAATCTGTCTGCCTGAAGAAAAAACAAAAATCAAGCTTATCTGAATCTGACTCCCAACGGCCTCGGAGACAGGCTGACTATCAAATTTCTCCTGGGACATGAGTACCCAAGGACAAAAGCTTCATCTATCCCCCCCCCCCCCCGAGAACTTTCTGTGCAAGCTTATCAGGACTGCTGGCTGGAACAACATCTTCAGAAACTGTGGCTGATCTGAAAAAACGCTCATGGACAAATCTCAACACCTCGATGTCAAATGCAAATGTAATCATGTTTTAATTGTGCTTGCTGGTTGAGTTTTTTAATGTCTCAAATCGTGTCCTGATAGACAAGATGTGAAAGATCTTTTTTTGTAATACCACAATCTACCCTCATGTTTCTCCCCCTTTTCCTATCTAAGATTATTATCTGATAAGGATAAAATGGCCGCGCTCTCCTGTAGTTGCAGCTTCGTGCACTCCGCCCGTCTTTCGGACGACTATACGTACATAATCGCGTTGTACCTCGGTGCAATTCCAATAAAGTTTATTCTGATTCTGATTCTGATTAAATCACTTCTTGGTCTGCTGCCTTCATACATCTCCTCCTACATGTCTCTGCGTGAGTGCAGCTACAGCGTGCGCTCTCAGGACATTATTACCAGCAGTTTTCCCTCAGTGAGAACTGAACTTGGTAAAAGGGCCTTCTCCTACTCTGCTCCTGTTTCCTGGAATATCTTACAAAAAGATCTGAAGCTCTCGACCTTGACCTCTCTAAGTGGCTTTAAAATCTGTTGGACTCCTGGCAAGAACCAATGCTGACATGTTCCTGTTTTTAGTTTTCTACATTTGCCTTAGAACCTAGCTGTTTTTATGTTGCTTTTCTTTTTTTAGCCATGCTATTTGTAAAAAAAAAATATTAATAATAAAATCTTTATGACTTTTTATAACTGTCTATTGTTGTCATCATTCTTTGTTGAAATCAGGTCTCTCTTGTAAATGAGTCCTCGAGGCTCAATGAGATTTACCTGTTGAAATAAAGGTTGAATGAATGAAAAAGTATAGTTTTTCTGCAAAAGTAGAGTTGTAACTTATAAATTTAAAACTCTACACTGTAATTGTAGTTTGCTCTAAAAAATGAAGGTTAATTATCCCATTTAGGTGTACATCAATGATTTTCAATATTACAGTTGTGTTTTGGTTTCATTAGATCATAATTTATTTTACATTAACAGTAAGTTCTGTGGATTACTGTTTAATTTCAATGTGAGTAATTAAAATTACATGTTGTACTTGAATGCAAGTGGCTTGGGGAGCTGCAGGAGCTGCTGGGTTGTCTTGGGACAGAAATTAGTGGACATTTTCAGGTCACGTGCTCAGATGAGTTGTCCCTGATGAATATTTTGTTGGGTTGGCATTTATGCGCAGGTAGTTGTTAGCGACTGCAAAAGAAATGACACATTAAGTCAGATGATGTGCCTGATGTATAAAAAGGGGAAAAGAACTTCTTGTTCTGTGAGCTTCTGATTTGCGGACCTGATAACAAATGCATGAAATAATCGGTCTGACTGGTATGATAAATTACCTTAAAGAACAATTCAACAAAAGATGATACAATGTGGCATATTTTTGTCTCCTTGAGGAAATCTGAAATAAGACTCTAAGGTTGCGACTGCCATGTAAATTTTACTGACAGTCTGTATAAACTGAGAGCAGCAGGTCCAAAGTGTCACATTATGTTGATAGGCCCATAAGAAAGTCATCAATCTCACCAGCCCAGCAAGGTAATTGCAAGCCAGCGGATAATGATAAGCCATCATTTCGCCCAGTTGATTTGATCACAGTCATTGGCAGCACAATCATCCCATCCAAAAATAACTTATCCCTGAGCCAGACAATATTTACAGCGTGACAGTGTGAGCCAGTGATACAAGAAGCATCTTTTTCCATATCACGAAGCTTTGTTGTTAAACCATTGTTAGTGTGAAACTGTAGACCGACCAAGGATTCAGAGGGGTTCCTAAAGGGAAGTACAGTTTATTGATCAGGTCTTCAGTGGATTATTTTCTGTCGCAGACTTTCAGGTTTCATTCATCTGTTGTAGATGGTTTTCTTTGTTCTTACAATTCTTCTTCCATTTGTCCATAATCCTCAGTTTTAAACTCACATGTGCTCATATGCTGTCATTGTCAGAGACAAGGATTGTCTCCAGTAGAGACAGTCTGTGATGGAGTATAGTCCACATGGACTATGATGTTTGCAGATGACATTGTGATCTGTGGTGAGAGCAGGGAACAGGTGGGAGAGAACTTGAAGAGGTGAAGGTATGCACTTAAAAAAAAGGAATGAAAGTCAGTTGTAGTAAGACAGAGTACATGTGTGTGAATGAGAGGGAGGCCGATGGAACAGTGAGGCTACAAGGAGCAGAGGTCACAAAGGTGCAGGAATTCAAGGACTTGGGGTCCACTGTCCAGGAAAACAGGGAGTGTGGTAAAGAGGTGAAAAAGAGAGTCCAGGCAGGATGGAGTGGATGGAGAAAAGTTTCAGGAGTGATTTGTGACAAAAGGGTGTCAGTAAATGTCAAAGGAAAAGTTTACAAGACAGTGGTAAGACCAGCTATGTTGTCTGGTCTGGAGACAGAGACATGGACAAAAAGACAGGAGACAGAACTGGAAGTGACAGAAATGAAGATGTTGAGGTTCTCCTTAGGAGTGACAAGGATGGATAAGATTAGGAATGAGATCATCAGAGCACAGGTTGAACAACTGGGAGAGTTAGAGAGGCCAGACTGAGATTGTTTGGACATGTCCAGAGGAGGAAGGGTATATTGTTAGAAGGATGTTAGAAATGCAGCTGGCAGGAAAAAGACAAAGATGAGATATATGGATGCCGTTAGAGAGGACATGGAGGTAGCTGGAGTGAGGACAGAGGATGCAGAGAACAGAGTGAGATGGAGGAGGATGACTCGCTGTGGAGATTCCTGAAGCGGGAAAAGCCAAAAGAAGAAGAAGTCAAGGACTGAACAAAAAAAAGTAAAGGTATCTGTGGTCAAATAAAAGTGTAAAAGACCTTCAGAAAGCCTGATGAACTCATCGACCAGGACCAAGTCAAAAAGGTGTAAATCCAATTGTATCTTACTGTGCTGCAACTGCTCACAACTAGTTGGGGCATGACATTAACCAGGAAGTCTCCAAAACATTATCATATAGTTGAAGAGATTCTTAAAACTTTCAGGTGAGTTGCAGAGGCTTGCGGTGTTGACACTTGAATTTTGAACATGCTCAAAACCTTTGTGGAAAATAAGTTAGATAAAATCCGTCATAGAATTGTTGGGGTAACTTTTCCTAATTTTGATTTTGTAAACCTAGAAGGCTAGAGGTGTAGACTGCACATGGGCTTTCCTAATGATAGAAACATCCAAGGCCACAGCATAGGCATCGCAACCATTATATGTGAAGGGGACAAGTCCCCCTACATTAAAAATATGTTCATTTGGACCCCCCACTTTTACTATGAAACATTAGTTCAGGCGGCACAGTTTCTCTTTCTTCGTGAACAAATCCATTCCACTTGATCAATAAGAGAATATTCAAGCCACTAAAACTCCACTCCAGGTTTTCCTGGTTACCTCCAACTCTACACACAGAGCAGAAACTGTGCAGGCAGCAGCTGCTGAGTCTCCTGCTTCAGCAGAAAACGCACACAAGTAGAGAAGATGGCGACACCTCTGTGTTGCTCACTCGCCAATTTAGCGAGCTTAGTGCAGGCAGTTGTTGACCAGGGGTGCATACATTGCATTCATGTTAGGAGGATGCTTGAGAGGAGCGCTACATCTGTAGCATCTTAGCTTAGCAGTAACTGTGACGCTGTAAGACGCTGCAGGTGTAAGAGACGCTGTTTGTTCAGGTGCATTAAAGTTGAAATGTCTTTAAAACCCCACACCTTATTGTCCTCAAGCTTCATGAGAAACATCATTTAGATGAGTGTTGAACACAAGTAAAAAAGTCCAGTGGTGATGTTTTTTTTATTTCTCTATAAAGACAAATGGTGCCAATCTGAGGCTCTGTATTAAAGTGTATTAAAGTTAAAATGTCTTTAAAACTCACAGCTGAATTTACACAAACTTGATGAGAAACAAGCTTTAAATGTGTGGAATTAAAGGAAATATAGGTGAAATGCTGCTTTTTTTGTACATTAGTGTACACTTCTTTGCGCACACACGTGCGCGCGCACACACCTACACACATCATTGTGTGTGTTCCCCCCCCCCCCCCATTTCAGATGCTTCTGACCCCCTTGGGCCTTGAATAACAAGATCTCAAAACCACTCAGAAGTTAAATAGATGCTGTATTTTAATTTTGAGTCAACTAGTGTACAACTGTTCAAGTGAGAAACTGGCTTGAGGAAGACTTAAAAGAGTTGAATAGTACTGAAGATAGTGTTGTTGTTTTTTTAAATTGTTTTCTGTGCCTGAAAAAAATGTTTAGGACCACCAAAGATGTTCAAAAGAATAACAAAGACACTTTCTGAAGTCCAAGAAATCTCTTATAAATGTATTTTTGTGAAGTCACCTGACTGTAATTTCTTATTGTATTATTGTATCCTACTAAATAAACAATTGTCGTCAGGAATTCAAGCTCTCACTGAAGACGTGCAATCCATCTTTGAATCTTACCTGGGACACAGAGACACCTGTAGCTGTTGCTCACGCTGCGGCAGACCCCGTGGGCGCAGGGGTTCAGGGCACAGAAGTCCACCAGCTGGGCACAAGTGGGTCCTGTGAAGCCAGAAGTGCAGCTACAGGCGAACCCTAGGGGGCCGGGGCCCTGAGCGTAACATGTGCCATTATTGTGGCATGGGCTGGAGGCGCAGGGATCCACCTTCTGTTCACATGAAGCACCCTGGTAACCTGTCAGACCACAGAGGGTGAGGAAGGATAAAGAGGAGAAAAAATTGGTAATGTGAAACGTAAAGGCTTAAAGTGGCTTTCAAACATTCCAGGTATACGGTAGCTGAAATGGGCAAATCCAAAGAATTAACACAGCAGTCACAGTTGTTGTTTTTGTTGACTTGTTCCTACACCAGCACCTGGCAGTGACAAACCAAGTGCTTTTTAAGTTGAGCTGCTTCTTTTAGATACAAAACATACTGCCTACTCCTGAAAAATAAAGAAACAACGAGGAACAACTCAAAGCATTCCCAGAGTCTGTTTCTGCCACTGTAGTTTGCTGGTGAAGATTCTCAGTCATCCAGGACATGATAAATTAAAAAAAAAACATTCAATACAAAAACAACTGGACTTTATTTGTAATTGTCAGGATTTGTGGTCAGGGACGAACCCAGTTGTGCAGACAGGACTCAACTCGGCAGATTACAAAAATAAATATTTTGATGATGAATAAAGTCACAAAATAACCAGCTGACTGGGCAGCAAAACTTACATGAAAACAGGAGGCTCAGGGGGGAAACTCAGAAATGACTCAGGAAGCTCAGGGAAGACTCAGGAGATGCAGGAGGACACAGGATACCCAACGAGTACGACGCGACAAGGAACAAGACTGAACAGACGGCTTATATACAAGGACAAGACGAGACGTGATAACAAACAGCTGTGACGAGACAAGGGTGGCACCAATTAAACTAAAGAGAAAACACTAGGGAACACAGACACAAAACCGGGCCACCAAATGGTACCATCCTTACAGTACCCCCCCTCAAGGACGCCCCCAGGCGTCCCCAAAAAAAACCCCTCCCGAAGGACTTGGGCGGGTGGAGGGCGGCACTGCAAGGGTGGAGGGCCCGAGGAAACACAAGGAAGAAACCAAAGACCTGACAAAAACTAAGGCAAAACACAAACAGGAAAACACAAAAGATCTGAACGGTCAAGAGACCGTCCCTAGAGTCATTGTTCCGGCGGGCGGCCGGGAGGCCGTCCATCAAGCCGGGCCAGGTCAGGGGGGCGGCCGGGAGGCCGTCCATCACGGGAACCACATTCAGGGGGGCGGCCGGGAGGCCGTCCATCACGGGAACCACGTTCCGGGGGGCGGCCGGGAGGCCGTCCAACACATAGGACCTTGGAAGCCGCGGCAGGCGGCGACGATGACTTGGAGGCCGCAGCAGGCGGCGACAACGACTTGGAGGCCTCGGCAGGCGGTGACGGGGAGGCCGCAGCAGGCGGCGTAGACGACGAGGAGACCGCATCAGGCGGCGTAGATGGCGAAGAGGCCGCATCAGGCAGCGTAGACGGCGAAGAGGCCGCATCAGGCGGCGTAGAGGCCGCATCAGGCGGCGTAGACAGCGAAGAGGCCGTATCAGGCGGCGTAGACGGCGAAGAGGCCGCATCAGGCGGCGTAGACGGCGAAGAGGCCGCATCAGGCGGCGTAGACGGCGAAGAGGCTGCATCAGGCGGCGTAGACGGCGAGGAGGCCGCATCAGGCGGCGAAAAGGCCTTGGGGACCGCATCCGGTGGCAAAGAGGCCTTGTGGACTGCAGCGTGCGACTTGGGGCTCTGGAGAACTGCAGCGTGCAACTTGGGGCTCTGGAGAACTGCAGCGTGCGACTTGGGGCTCTGGAGAACTGCAGCGTGCGACTTGGGGCTCTGGAGAACTGCAGCGTGCGACTTGGGGCTATGGAGAACTGCAGTGTACAACATAGAGTCCTGGGGAGCTGCAGCTTGCATCATAGAGGACCATGGAGGCGAATCCTCTGTGGTAGTGAAGAGCACCGGCCCCTCTGGAGACTTGGAGAGTGCCAGCCCCTCTGGAGACTTGGAGAGCGCCGGCCCCTCTGGAGACTTGGAGAGCGCCGGACCCTCTGGAGACTTGGAGAGCGCCGGCCCCTCTGGAGACTTGGAGAGCGCTGCTGCTGTCATGGAGGCCAGGGGAGTTGCTACTGCAGTCATGGAGGCCAGGGGAGTTGCTGCTGCAGTCATGGAGGCCTGGAGCTCTGCAGCAGACGGTGGAGAGGCCTGGAGCTCTGCAGCAGATGGCTGAGAGGCCTGTGGCTCTGCAGCGGCGGCAGGAACTGACTCTTCTACGGCGGCGGCAGGAACTGACTCTTCTGCAGCGGCGGCAGGAACTGACTCTTCTGCGGCGGCGGTGACGGCGGCGGCGGCATGAACTGATCTTCTATGGCGGCGGCGGCCCCCCACAGAGTCACTGGGAGTATGCACAGGAGGTACGGTCAGGCTGGGTTGGACAGCCGCGGCGCGGTGTGACGGTGAGAGGCCGGACTCCTCCCCCACCAGGAACCTGGAAGGTGAGGTGACAGAATCCGCCCCTGTGACGTCAAGTGGACCGTACTCGCCGAACCGAACAGGAGTGGACCGGAGCTCCCGCGGGACGTCGGATCTCGCCCCCACCGGAAACCTGAGAGGTGAGGCGGCGGACCCGGCTCCCACAGAAACACCAGAACCAACTCTAAAATTCTGCTCAGCCGACGAGACCGGCCCGGTCGCCGCGGACTGCCCCCGGGACCGCTTTCTACCTCCCCGGCGACGGCGGAAGATTCAGGGGACAGGAACAAAACAGAACTCATCCTCGATTTTTTTCGTCCTCCCCCGACGTCCACCCCGAATAACCGGGCAAGGCGGATTCAGAAACAGGGGTCTGGTGGCTTCCCCGGTGCCGAGACCTGTTTTCCTCGAGGACCAGGAGTGGTGAAGACAGGATTTCCACCTCCTGGTCATAACGTCCTTGTGTGCGGACGGGCCTGGTGCAGAACCCGCCGCACCGGAATGTGGGCTTGCTCATCTCAAGAGGCTCGGAGGAGAAAAAGAAAAAAGGTAAGTTGCCGAGAGAATCCTGCCCGCTGGGTTCTGATATGTGGTCGTGTCGAAATTACTCAGGAAGCTCAGGGAAGACTCAGGAGACCCAGGAGGACACAGGATACCCAACGAGTACGACGCGACAAGGAACAAGACTGAACAGACGGCTTATATACAAGGACAAGACGAGACGTGATTACAAACAGCTGTGACGAGACAAGGCTGGCACCAATTAAACTAAAGAGAAAACACTAGGGAACACAGACACAAAACCGGGCCACCAAATGGTACCATCCTTACAGTAATAGAAGACGTTCCGCTCCTCATCCGAGGAGCTTTCTCAATTCAATTAGCAGTGATTGAGGGGTTCAGCTTATAAGGCTGAGTGAGATAAGACACACACACATATGTGGATTTGACAATTCACACCTCAACACCTTAACAGTATGGGTTTCTTCAGGTCTTTGTTACGCTAATTCACAGATGAGGCCCCTCTGTTCCTATCAAGTGTGAAAACCGGCTGGGAATCTGTCTTAAAGTTGAATTATAGGTTTTTGAAAGTGGAAATCTAAGGCATCCTCCTCTTTTAAGAGATGTTTTTTCCACTTTTTACATAAATTGACGTCGCTCAAAATCATCTCAACAGAAGGTCTCCGACATCTGGTATCTGCGGTGGCCGTTCGGTTCAGACCTGGTAGGAACAGCTGATTTACTCTGAGGTTGACTCTGGTGTCCAAGAATTTAGATTTTAACCAAATTAGTATTAACTCAGTTCAGTAATTATTTTTCCTTAAATTTCAGACCAAATTTTAACTATTGGACGAGGCATAAAGCAAGCCTCTTTTTTTATTTAAATTTGCATAATTTGCCTGATGAAAATTCCAAAGTTCCACATTTCATCTCGTTTTGGTTTGGGTAATCACATATAATTCATTTTAGTTGTTAAGTTCTGCTAACAATCATTTTTAAAGGTCACGTTATAACGTATAATTTCCATAAATACCAGTTGTTACACGAAGCCATCGTTTAATTGTAAGCAATAATTTCCAACAGTTATTTTCTCACATATAGTCAAATGAACATCACAAAATTGTATACTAAAGCGTGTGTGTTTTATTCATGACATCTGAATCTTTCATATACAAGAACTCACGGTGTAAAAAGGGTAACTTGACGTAATTAAAATTACAACATCTGAATTGACGTTCAGACCTTCAGATTTTCTCTCAAGGCTGAGAGTGGTGCCCCTTCATAATAAAATTAAGAATGAATTTTTAATCATTATAAACCCTTCCCGGTACACCTTTTAATCACACATTGATCCAAATCAGGTGTTGGAGCACAGAAACATCTAAAGCATGCAGGATAGTGGCCCTCGGGGACTGGGATTGGACACTCCTGCTTTAAAGGAGTTTTAATTTCTCTTCTCAAGTCAAGTCACATTTATTTATATAGCACATTTAAAACAGTAACTGTTATCAAAGTGCTTACCAAAAAAGATCACAGCATCAAATACTAATAACAACATGTTACAGCAACATGAATAAAAGCATAAAAACATGAAATATAATGAGAAACAATGAAATACTAAATCAATTCTCCATCTCAGCCAGTAAAGGCAGGCTAATAGAAGCTGATGGGGTGTGTGAGTCTGTGACGGAGGCTTGTTTTACGCAGACTCAACTCCATTTTTTTCACATCCAACTGTAGTGTGTGTGTGTCTGTGTGTGTGTGATGAAACCACTCGCTTCCACCGCACCTTTTATTATCTTGTGAAGCTCTGTGCCGTCACCGACCTATCCTCTGCTTCTAAAAATAACCTGTTCTCCTTTTCTGTCTTTGCCCCTTGTATGAGCCCTGCATTGATGAGGAGAAGGACTCTCTGCCCCGAGCATGGCTGGTGCTGTGATACAGTGTGTCCTCTGATTTACAGTAGGCCAGCAGAAAATCTCTGCGTTCACCGCGTCGGACGCTCCATCGAACTAATGAAGACATCTCCATCAAGCATCTGTTGGTCTGCAACCTTTATGATTTGTGAGGAGAGCATTTATCATTTCCAAAATTCATCAAACGCTCACTCTGCATTCTCTTTCCGTCCACTGCCGCAGTCTGCTGCCCTCTTCTTCCCTCTCCATGTAAATACA